AAAGGAAATAATAAAATAATAATAATAATAATAATAATAATAATAATAATAATAATAATGACTGATGCAAATCTCATTACGCCTTCTTGGTCTCGCGGTTCTACTGACATGTACAGAAGCGATTATATAGAATTAATTCCTAAGTCTGCTGCTAAGAATACTGGTTTATATTTTGTGAACAGACTCCATCTTTCATTTACAAATCTATCATTCGACTATGCTTTGAATTCTGCTGCCATATTTGTTCTGGTGATTCGTCTATATATCTTGAGATTCTCGTTAAAATCCAAAGAAGGGTCCGTAATGTTATTGGTCCTGATCTGGTATCTCAACATCAGTCACTTTCACGCTAACTTACGTGATATCTCGTCTTTTCTATAAATATCTTCATGGAAGTTGTTCTAAGGAGCCGTCATCCTTTGTAAATTAGAATAATTAAGAAGGAAATTTAATGTAGAATACATGGGAAAATATGCAGAACAAAATATGGACTGTATTTCAAGATTAACGCATAATTTCAGACAAACAAATCTATTTGCGTTGTACATCTATTGTTGAATTTATGTTGTACAGGATTAGATATATTATTTATCTACCAAGCCGACGAATGTTGAATCATTATAAATATTCTTCATTTGGATACTATCATTATTATTATTATTATTAATAATATTATTATTATTATTATTATTACACATTGTGTATGTTATGTTTCCTGCTTGGTATCTTGTAGAGTGGGTCTAAACTATGGTCTTTAGGCCCTATAAGAGAAATGCCACATAATTGATAACACTTTTTTTAGTATATGGTATGTTCCTAGTCGTGCAATCTTATAAGCAACCTGTATTTTGATGCTACCTGCGACACTGAGCTCCGATTACTATTGGTACAGTCTCAAACTTCATTCCCCACATCCTGTTAATCTCGATCTCCAGATCTTTGTATCTGGAAAATTTCACGACAATTTTTAAGGGGGTATTTTTCTCAGATTGTACTGCTATGTCAATAAGCTTAAACTTCCTGAATTTTCTTGTCTTTTATGATAATATCAGGTCTGTTGTCTATTATTTCTCTGTTAGTTTGAATTGGCATGTCACTGTGGATAGTTACATCCTTATTTTGTGTAACTGTGTCTGGTTAGGGCTCATATTTTTCAGTGCACATATATCACTATCTTGTTATGTCTGTGAGTATATTCATATTCATTCTTTGCCAGTTCCGGACATCCTGAGATCATATGGTCGAGAGTTTCATCATATTTTCTGCAGATCCTGCATTTCGGATTAGTTCCATCCTTCATTATGTGACATTAATAGGATCTGCTTGCGAGGCTTTGGTATTGAACTGCAATAATTAGGTTTTCTGTCTTAGTTTTCAATCCGGTGTTCCTCAACCGCTGATGTGTTTTCTGTTGTTTTTTTTTTTTGCTATGTATGTCGCATGCAACGCCTTGTCCTCCCAGTTTTTATGTTTTTCTTGTAACTTCATTTGGCTAAGTTGTTTTACTAGTTTGGCGTAGATGGTATTCGCTTCGTTTTTTGTTGGTAGTATATTCAGGCATATTAAGCTATTTCTTGAAGAGTACAGCCTTTTTGTTGATGGAGTGCATTTGGTGTTTTACTATTGCTAGGAGAGGGTCATTGGTTTTTGTGATTTATACTTCCAATCCTATTGTTGTTATTTTAGAGTTCAAGTTTGATGAGACCTCTGCCTCCTAAATCTCTCGGTACATACATCCTATCAACATCTGATTCCGGGTGGTGTATCCTCATTTCGGTAAGTATTTTTCTCGTCTTGACGTCTAATTGTTTAATGCCATTCAACTTCCATTTAATAATGTTCAAGTTGTTATTACGGGTATAGCTAAGGTTTTGATAGTCTTTATTTTATTGGCCCCATTTTGTTCGCTTTCTAGTATCAAACGCACTTTCCTATAATATGCTTTTCAGATCTTTTTCTTCATAATTGAATGTTCCGACATATTTATTGATTCTTAAGTATTTGTATGTACCATTTTGGTCTAGTTCCTTAATCTTGCTATTGATATCAAGCTCTAAATCCGTAGTTTTTCTTAGTTTACCGCCTTTGAAGGCGGCTTTGGCATATTGTCCATCCTAATGTCTTCGCTGAAGCTTTTGACAATGCTGAGTATGCTTCTATGTCGGCGGTCATCCTTGGCAAGCATTTTAAGATCATCAAAATCTGTAATTCAGTTTGCCATTCTGTGACTTGTATCCGTAGCTACTGTTCTTCACTAGGTAGCTGAAGATTAGTGGTGACAACGAATCTTTTGGGAATATCACGTTTTTCATATTGATTTGTCTCGATGCTAAATTTTTTTCTTTTTTTTTAAGCATTACGCTCCGAGCAAGGCGTGAAGCCACTAGGATGCAGGGGCTTGCAGAAGATTTGGAGCGAGAGCAGATAGGCGTGATAGAAGAAAGGATGAGGAGAGGGATAGTGGGTAGATCAAGGTAACTGGAGATGCCGATTGACATTACATTTGAATAGTTGGAGATTATAGCTCTCAGGGAAACAGTAATTGGGAAGGGTGTTCCACAGGCGAGAGGTGCGAGGTATGAAGCTATTGGAGTAGAAGAGACGGCTACATTTAAAAGTTTCTACAGTGTAAAGGTGGGAGCGGGATGCCAGCCTTGTAGGGCTCTTGAATTCATGGAGTCTCGGAACCAGTGAAAGCAGCTCATCGGAGCAATTACCATAAAAGTATTTGTAGAAAAGGAAGAGAGAGGCGACGGCGTGTCTGTGAGAGAGTGACTGTAGACGAGACGCCAAATCAGGGCCAATTATATTACATATCCGTCTTTGGATCTTGTGAAGAACTCCAAGGTAAACAGAAGGTGCCCCAGACCATATATGGCAGCGATACTCCATGCAAGGGCGAATGGTTGATTTGTATATTTGAAGTATCGATTCCGGGGAGGAAAATTTCCTGGCGCGACACAGAGAGCCAATTTTCCTCGCGGTGGACGAAGCAATTGACTCAATGTATTTGTTCCATCTCAGGTCAGCAGTCAACGTGAGACCGAGCAGACGCAGGGAGTTGCTCTCAATAAGTTGACTATCAGACATTCTAATGCGGGGGGGGCAGGGAAGGATCTCTATGGTGATTAATAGAGAGTAGTTTAGTTTTTGAGGCGTTAAAGTTGACCAGCCAATTCATGCCCCAATTAACAACCGATTGGAGGTCCATTTCAAGACGCACGGCCATGTTAGTTTTGTCACCGACACTAGATTTGTTTTTGATGCAGGAGTAAATTGTAATGTCGTCCGCGTAGATTTTAGATTTAGTATAGTCTCCCAGTTTTTGATACTCTCCGTGATGAAAATGATCGTTGTAGTGGGGTTATACTCTGAATATTTAAGCTCTTCTTTATGTATGGGTGTGGAACACAGTCGAACGCCTTTCTGTAGTTGTTCCATGCTATCGATAATTTTCGTTTCTTTGTTTTCATCTCTTCCAATATAGTCTCGTTGATAATTAGTTGGTACTGCAACCGTAACTTTCTGTTTTACATCCTTTCTGTTCCGCCGGGAGTAAATCCTTTTTCTCAAGGAAATATGTCTTCTCGATTATGATAGAAATGAGGATCTTGTAAATTGTTGGTAGGCAGGTGATGGGCCTAGAGTTGTCCGGATTCTGCGATTCTTCTGTTTTGGTGAGTAGGTATGTTGTTTCCCACCTGAGCTGTCTGGGACATTCCAGAAGGTTTCTGATTATATCATTTTATGCCCGTGCGAGGTATTGGTGGGTGCTAGATTGTTTTTTTTTTATCCCCAAATTGGCTATTCGGTCTATTCCTGGTGCTTTCCAGTTATTAGTTTTGCAGATGTCAGCAATTGTTTCAGTAATATTGATATCCGTCCATTTTGACACTCTATATGCGTGTGTTGTTCTTGTTGTCGCTTGATCTATGTAGCTCTTTCATTTTGCATTTTGCAGTTTCCTTACATCTTACACCAGAACTCCTCGACTTCCTGGATATTAGGTGGGTCGTTTATCTGTAATTAATTTTTACAGTTCTCGATATAGTTTCTTGTCATCATAACCATGTAGTTATTATTATTATTATTATTATTATTATTAAACCAACTGATCTAAAAATTCCTTTAGAAGACTAAAGACTTTAATCTCAGGCAATACTTGTATATATGGAAATATATGTTAAAAATATGATACCATGAGTAAATTATTTTTATTATCTAAAATGTATATTTCGTTTAATAAAATGATTTATTTCTGTTGCAGTTTCATCGTGTCTTACTATAAAAAAGAACCAGTCCTCAGAATGAAATGGGCACAACTTTTCGAATTTATATTCGTCGCCATTCTATCAGAACGACTGACCTACGCGGAAAATATTCTTTTCTTGTCGGTACCTTACTTTAGCTATATCAAGCCAATGGTCAACGTCGCTGAAAAGTTGACCGATCAAGGACACGTCAGCTTCATCATCATCGATCAAAAATTAAATGGTAAATACGGTTCCGTAAAAAGTGGAGTGAATTTCGTCATAACAGAGGAGTTTCAAGAGTTCAAGATTTTTAATGATATTATATTGAAAGTATTACGTTTTCCAGATAAGTATAAATTAAAAGACTCATTCAGTGCCACCCAAAACCTCTGTGATCGTTATCTCTTAAACGAAGAACTTTTTCGACGGCTGAAATCGTTCAATGCGTCTTTAGCGGTTATTGAATCGAATTTCGAAAGCAATTGTCTGGCTATTTTAGCTTACAGACTTGAGATACCATTCATTCTCCTGGGACAACAAAATCAGATCAACATTCACCGAACGCCATGGGCAATTTCAGTTTTCCCACATTATTTACTCTTTCAGGCGAAGGTGTCATCTTTTTCGATGAAGATCAAAAACCTGGTGTATCATTTTGAACATTACATAAATCCAGCAGCTGGATCTCCGGGCAAAAATATTAAATTCTATGCACCTGAACGGCCAGATATTACTTTTGACGAACTT